TTTTGAATTTAAAATTTTATTTAAAAAAAATCAAATTTCTTTCATTTATATTAATATATCATTAATGAATTTATTTTTTATTTGTTTCTATCGATGTGAATTTATTTGACCAAACTGTGTTTTTTGTGCTGAGGAAAAGCAGAAGTGGACGTGACGTGATTGGATTGGATTGGGACCCACAGGGGGTTCGCACGTGGCCTAAACTGCGGCGGTTGGAATTGGGAAGTTGAGAGACTGTCTGTCACTCACCGTCACCGCATGTATGTATGTAATGTATGTGTGTTTGCTTCACGCAACCAGGAACTCCTCCACTCTGTTCTGTTCTGTTCTGTTCTGTTCTGTTCTGTTCTACTCCTACTTTGCCGTGGCTTCGAAGTTTGAACTTTTTAAGATTAGGCAATTACCCTACCCCTTTCCCCCTTCCTTCCGCCGTACTATATTTGTTTTAAAATATAAATAAATAAATAAACAATTAAAAATTAAAATATTTTAATATTAATTATAATTTACATAAAATTTATATTATATTTTACTTATTATATTATTTTAATTTAAACATTGTGATATTTTTAATATTAATATTATAATGTCTTAAGTTTCTACATCTTCATTTGTTTATATATACACGTGGCCTTAGTCCCCCAACCTTTAAGCATGCTTGCAAAGTGACTTTCAACCCTTAAAACAGAACAATCAAGTCCTTATATTTTTGAAAACTTTCCCTAATTAAGAGGTGTCTCAACTATATGGTAAGAAATTAAAATTTTAAGTTAGAAACTTAAGTTAGGACTCTCTTATATTCAATCATTGAGATGGGTGGGAAGGGAGTATAAAAAATGATAGAGTTATCTACCATGTTATATTATGTAGTCATTAGCTAATATAGATATAATAAAGAAATCTGAAAACCTCATTTTACCAATAATTAACTAGTGGCAAAGTAATAAAAATTATTAACTTTTAGGCTATTTATGTTCAATATTTCGCATTAACTTATTGGGATAAAAAAAAAATTCTGTGTATCAATTTTTACTTACAAAAACAATATTTTGCATTAAATATAGAGTTGTTATTATCAGTGTCTAAATAAAGTCTCATTTTTCCTCGAGCATTGTAGTGTCACTCATCTTAATAAATGTTTCAATTGGCCAAAATAAAATGAATTTATATTCAAAATGTGTATAACAAATATTCTAACCAAAACAAATGTCTCAAAATCTAAAAAGTTTACAATTAATTATACATGAACTATACATTTTATAATTTGGTGGATTACATTCCACTTATTTTAAGTCAAAAACCTTAAAACGTCAAATAATGATTTTCTGTCTTCTCATTTCCGTTAGCATAATTGATGGATTAGAGAAATATATTGCAAAGTTTTGAAAAGTGAAGAATTCAATTGCTTGGTTTTAAAGATTGAGAACTACTTTTGCAAGCAAACCTTAAAGGCTGACCACTAAAAACAATTTTCAATTACTCATACACTTGAAATACTAATGTTAGTACATTTAAGAAATTTCAACCACCAGTCCTTTCAATTTCACATTAATGACCCACCAGGCCACCACCACAGAAAAAAGCAATAAAGTTTTCTCAATTATTACTATTATTATTATATATCAAAAACTTTGTCATTATTAACAAATAATTAACAAACCAACCCATTTCGGCTCTCTAAAGTAATACCCACAAAATAAAATCGGCTCTCTTTTTCTCTCTATCTTTGTCTCTCTCTCTCTCTCTCTCGCTCGAATCAGAGATGAGTAGTAGAAATCATGGAGGTGGTGGGCCTTGCGGCGCCTGCAAGTTCCTAAGGAGGAAGTGCGTGAAAGGGTGCATATTTGCACCGTATTTTGACTCAGACCAAGGGGCGGCTCATTTTGCAGCGGTGCATAAGGTTTTTGGTGCAAGTAATGCCTCCAAGCTGCTCATGATGACACCGGCACACAAACGCCTTGACGCTGTTGTGACGCTTTGCTATGAGGCTCTGGCTAGGGTTAGAGACCCTGTTTATGGCTGCGTTGGTCACATCTTTGCCCTCCAACAGCAGGTCAGCTCATCCCCTTTTCTCGTCTTCCTTTTCTTTTCTTCTTCTTCTTCTTCTTCCCTTTTTTTTTTTTTTTTGGGGGTGTTTATCTTACATTAATTAATGATCATGCTCGGCCATTAGCTAATTAACCCAAGTGAGTACGATTTTTTCTACTTTGGGAAATGCCCCTTTTAAGAGGAGAAGATATGTGCAATTAAGATGAGAAGATATCCATTTTTTTCCCCTTTAGAGCAAGAGTTTTTGTTTTTAGCTAATATTAATTTTTCAGGGTTTGCCAACATGCTACTAGTATTTTTTTTTTTTTGTTATATTGCTAATTAATTATTATGCTTTGAACTCCTTGTTCTAGGCTTAAGTAAAACATATATATATGTATATATATTATTTATCTCTTTCTTGTTCTTCCTCCTCGGAAGGAAAATGGGACTTAAATTTCATTTTGAACAAAAAGAAAAAATTTATCGCTAGATAGAATTTTTGCAGCAGACAGCAAGTTCTTATTAATTAGCCCTAGAGAGAAGTAATCTGGTTAAGGCTAACCATTAATTTGAAGTATATATGTGTGTCTACATATATAGAATTATTATTTAATTAAATTTATATGAAAATAATTATCATTACTTCTTTTTTTTTTTGGTAAATTTGGTCCTTAAATTTAAAATAGAATGTTGACATAACAATGATACTCCTCAAGGCTAATCTACTAATTATAAAAGTGGCCCGAAAATCTCTGAAATTTTTGGCCAAAAAATTAGTAAAAAAATCTTTAAACTTTTAATATTTCTCTGTCATTTCCTGAAAAAATCTTAAACCATCACTTTTGTAGTGCCTAAAATTAATCTAAAATATTCATTATTGTACTAATAATATCAAATTTTTTTGTTAAATATTAAAATGTCACCTTTAATTCAAACTTTTTTTATTAAGTCAAATTCGTTTATTTTATTTTAACATTTTCTATATAAATTTTTTTATATGTTTATGAATTTATTATATTTTTTAGATGTGTTTTATTATATATTTTTTCACAAATATAACTAGATATTTATTCACTAATCACCAAAAATTCCAAATTGCAATATATTTCATATTGAATATGGCCAAGTTTGATTTTAAAGACAATTTTACTCCATTTGGCCCTTTTTAGTTACCCAATTTCATCAACTTTATATTAATTAACTTAGTGAATTTGTATAAATAAATTAATAACAACTGAAAACTTTTTTTATCTAAGTGAAAATATTCAATAGACTTTAAGTTTAGGTAAAAAAAAGTTTTCAATTATCATCTATCTACTTAATAAAATCATCAAATTAAACTTTATGCAAAAGTAAAATTAACAAATCTAAAATAAACTAAAGAAAATAATATATACTTTAAACACAAATTTGATTTATATGTTAACAAATTGAACCCCCCTCATCTCAAATCTTGGCTCCGCTATTAAGTGGTTAAGATACAATCTTAAAACTTTAAGTTACCATTCTAATCCTGCCATTGCGTTCAAATTTATGTTGATTTATTGATTGGTTGAATATTTTATTAAAAAAATTTGTGATTTGTTACTAGAATTTCTCGGTTCTCCGTGTGGTGTAGGCTGTAAAGCCCAATAATATCCCCAGCCCCAGGGCTCCTGCAAACCCAAATAAAGAGGTCTTCGAGTGGCATTCATTCTTTAGACTTCAGGGTTGTTGGTGTTACATTTTTTATGAAAAAAATTCATAAAAACCGTGTAGAGATAGAAAGGTGGCTTCTACCACAGTTGTGAGTGACTACCACAGTTGTGAGTGACTAACTTGCCGGATTTACTAAGCAAAATTAGAGCAGCTCGAGAAAATATTCAAAAAAAAAAAAAAAATTCCTGACTTTGACTTTGTTAGGTTGCTTTCTACTTACAGCAATCTATGCATTGTTTATGACTTTAACTATAAGATCATGTGAATTTCTTGCATAGAACTTCGCGGGTGCTACCCATATATGCTAGGTGTTTCAAATATCATGCATAATATATGCATTGATTTTGAGAGGGATATAATTAGGATAATGGTTGATATATCTTTCGGTTTAACACATTTAATAACACTTATCGATTTAATCATTAAGAAACTAATATTTTTAAATTTGAATTTAAGGTGGGAAAATTTTCAAAAACAAATTTTAATGGTGAACAAGTGGATATTATTAGATATTTTGAACCGAAGAGTGCACCAATCATTTTTCATATAATTATCATAGGACATACGCAATAAAATCCATTTTGACTTTGCTATGTCAATTTTTCACAAGATGTTTCTTAAATCCTACTCGTATATATGAAACCTTTTTTTTTAACATGTGGTTGTAGGTGGATAATTTAGAGGCAGAGTTAGCCGACGTTCAGGCCCGGCTTTCGACGTTGCAACGCCTCCCTCTGCAGCCACAATCGCAAGCCCAATGCCCTTCACGTACGAGTCTTCACTCCTCATCGGAAATGGCTACTGACTTGATGATGTCGACTTCAAACGTATCCACGCACTTTGATTTTCCACGACAACAGTCACAGGATACAACTACTGAACTGACAGGTTTTCCCAATCCTCTGGTTCGAGAACTTGAGCATGACCAACTCCAAGCTTTGTCGAGGGAGTTCGTTGCCAGATACCTTCCAGGAGTTAGATTCCGATCTTCCAGTTCTGATTAAAACTGTTAAACGTTTTTAATCCTTGACCCGGGCATGTAGTGTTGATGCTGAAATCAATCTAATCAAGACGCACCGCACTTCTTTAAGGTTTGTTGGGTTTGTATAAGTGAAGGCTGGAGAGCTTACAGGGCCTCCATACAACAAAACCCCACGTAATCCTATTTCTGGGCCACCAAAGGCTTATGGGCCACTGGGTAGTTGGGCTTCATAAGGCTGCAAGCTTTCGTGTGCAGCTAGTCTGCCAATGTTTAGTTTCAAATTTCGTGTGCGCAAGAGGGTATCAAACTATCAATAATCTTTCCTGCAAAAATCAGAGACTTCCAAGGAGGACAAACAGAACTGACTTCAAATTTTGCTATGTTCATTTTCATCACCTGTACGGCGCTGGTCCTCCAATGCCTCCTGTCAGATGCACACAACACCATTTGACGCAATAGGAGAAATCTACAACAGAAAATTCACCAGAATATGGGTTTAACCTGACAACCATAAATTAAGTACATCGTATTTATGAAATACAAGTTTGAAAATGAGAGATGAAACAGAATATATATATATATATAGAAAGGGCACTGAGTTTTCTTATGACGAACAGTAAGGTCTGTTGGAAATAAGAGCAAAAGATTACCACACCAAGTTCATCTTGAACTTCAAAATTATAATCTAGTATAAATATCTCTAATCTTCTTTCAGCAGCAAATTGATGCTGCCTTCTAAGAATTTAAAGGGGGTGGTTAAAAATTAGGGTATCAAATTAAGCATGGCATGCCTGATATACATGAGGCTTGCTCACGTTTGACAATTCAAAAGTAAAGCATAATAACATTCGTCACAAGTCACAGACTGATAGTTGTCAAAGTAAAGGGCGGAAATTAGGATTACAAAAGATTACAAAACCCCATTCATAGTAGCAAATCAAGACAATTATAAGAACACTGGGATCTGGGAATAATACTAGAGTTCTGTGGCTAATGAAAGGAGAGAGTTACATACCTGACTAGCATTCTGCTTCAAGTTATGGTGCCTGCTCAGAAGTATGTATGACAACTGGCACTCTTCCATGCCTTCACCTCCTTTACCTTTTGTAGGAGGAATTCAGTCTCATGCCCTTATGCAGCCATCTAAGCTAGCAAGCATCTTGATTTAAACTCTTTGTACATAATACAGAAGAAAAAAAAAAGAACAATGCAAGGTAACTTCACTACAGATCTTTCAAACTAAGCGGCTTATTAAGATGCATCTAAAGCGAATGGCAAGAAATATGCATGTCACCAAGAAGTACCAGAAGTGAACCATCGCGGAGATTGATTGTACATACTGCACATGCAATAATCAAAGGTCAGAAACAGATAAAAAGAACGTAGTCACTGGTGTTCATTCTAAGAGGAACCCAACGTAAGAATAATGGACGTTCAAAACATAGTTAACAAATAGTTACAAATAAGGTATGCATGAAGAAGCCTAATAGGCTGACACTTTACAGAGATAACAAGTAAAATGGACAACTAAAGGCATGTAAGAGGCTCCCATCTTCAGTATACATGAATGTACAATCCAGTGCCCAGCAGCAGAAGTGATGAAGGGGCACAATATAAATTTATGGCTGTGTTAGAGTGGGTTAACGGGATTCTTTAGGACTACACAATCTCCCCATGTCTGAATCCACTGTCATCACAATCTGTGCCTGAGTCCAGCCCACAAGGAGAATCATACCATTTAGAATTCTCCTGATAGAAACTATCAACCTGTATACCAACAAGTCCTACATCTGCAACTATTCCCTCATCATGTCTCAAGGGCTTCGTTAGTTTAGTATCTTCACAGTCAAGAATGCTCTTCTCATCAAAATCACTGCATTTCAACCACTTTTCTGGCTTACAAGGCTCACCTATCAGGTCCTTCTGACTCCTACAATCTGTTCTCATTTGATCCCAAGGAACAACATCTCCAAGTGTCCTTCCAAAACTGTCATCATCATCCTCAATCAATTCTGTGTCCTTGCCATCCCCATACATCGGCTCATCATGATGATTAGTCCAGTGGGCCAAATCATTCTCCCCGACAAGCACAACATCTGGATGAGGCTTGTCAGAAAGCAATCCCAATGACTTTGGACCCTCTTCTCCTAAACATCTTACTTTATTCAAAACTTCAAACAGCTCCCGAGAGACAGAACCCAATAAGTCATGAGGGATTTTCCCAATCCTCCCCTCCAACAACCCAATTTCAGCTCTCAATTCCTGCACTTGCTGTAAAACCACAAGCTGTAAATCCCCTTCATCTTTACCCAACAATCCAAACCCGTCGTTCTCCATATCATCACTCACTCCATACACTGTATCCTGGTCCATTAAAAAGCCTCCTTTATGCCCAACAACCCTGTGCATAATCCTAGCATTCCCATCCAAGGGGCCTGGTTCATGTCCAGAATGCACTGCATACAACTTAAAAACAGCCATCCCTTCCTCCTGGTACACAAAAGTCTTATCTTTCTCATTATAATTTGCAATTGGCACAATAGCCCTAATTCGGAATCCACACCCACATCTCTTTGATGCATAGGGTTCCCTCTTCAAAATCCTTGACTTCTTAGCAGCAGGTTCCCCTGCTCTATGACAAGCATAATCCTTCACCTCAGCCATAAAAGGCTTATACCTAATATACTTCTGCCTAATACAAAGCACAACCTTGTGTTTCGCCGCCAATTGCTGCAACTTATGAGGCACCTCCTTTGCCGGAACATCAAACGACTCTGTGTATTCAAAACGACGCCGTTTACTCCTTGAAGCTGAACCCGACGCAGCATTGCACACAGGGCATGCGGCAACACAAACCCTAATGTAACTCTCAGGAATTCCATAGAACTTAGCACCTACAGTCCAAACCTGCTTGATTCTCTCTATAGTTTCTTTAAGCCCTAAATGCTTTAAATCGGCGTCGCCGTGAAAACCCATCACTATGTCTTGCCATTGGTTAACGTGAGACACAAATTGATTAGAATTATTCTTAAAACAGAGGAATTCGTTACCGGTGGAGTCCACTTGTGCCGTGAGCTTGTCCTGGATGCGCTTCCAGGCGGTGAGGTAGGCAGTATCCTCGTTGCGGTCCTTCCATACAGCTCGCCAGGATTTGAGGACTGAGCGCGGCGTCGCGGCACGGATCTCGTCGGGAGTCGCGAGCCGCTGTTCCCTGAGGCACCGAATCATAAGGGAGTGTGACTCCGCGTTGAAGGTATAGAACTGAGAAGATATGTGGGATTCGGGAGAAATGTAACCCAGGGGCCGATTAGTAATTTCGCCGGCACCATTGGTCGGGTGCTTGGCAATAGAAGTAGTTGCGGTCGTTGAAGGGTGGGCCGAACCGGCATCGTCGTTGTCGGAGGAGGAGTGACTGGGTGATTCGGCTGAGGAGGATGAACGGAAGAGGACGATTTCGGGGAGGGAGAAGGCGGAGTCAGGGGGTTCGTCAGGAGGAGGAATGGACGGCTGAGATTGGATGATCTGGTTAGGTGGGCCCAGATCATGGTGATGTTGGAAGAGATCCTCTTCAGTCTTGTGATGATTCATGGGTCGGCCGTCGGGGAAGAAGAAGAAGAAGAAGAAGAAGAAGAAGACGACGAAGAAGAACACGAAGAAGGTGGGGTTGGTAGTAGTTTCTGAGTGTCTTCCTAAAGCTTTGTTCAGTTTCTCTCTGACATCTTTAGAGGACAAGGGTTTCCTCCAAAAAAGTTTAATCCTTCCTTTCACTTTCTCTCACTATTTCCTTTTTGTTTTTTTTTGTTACCATTTTTCTTTTTCATAAAATCTGAATTAAATTTTTAATAAAAAAA